CTCAGAATGGATAAAAAAACAAAACCCATCTATATGTTGCCTACAAGAAACTCATTTTAAGCCCGAAGACACCTCCAGATTTAAAGTGAGGGGGTGGAAAAGAATTTACCATGCTAATGGACATCAGAAGAAAGCAGGAGTGGCAATCCTTATATCAGATCAATTAGATTTTAAGCCAAGGACTATAATAAGAGATGAGGAAGGACACTATATCATACTCAAAGGATCTGTCCAACAAGAAGATCTAAGTATTTTAAATATCTATGCCCCTAACGTGGGAGCAGCCAACTATATAAATCAATTAATAACAAAATCAAAGAAACACATCAACAATAATACAATAATACTAGGGGACTTTAACTCTCCCCTCACTGAAATGGACAGATCATCCAAGCAAAAGATCAACAAGGAAATAAAGGCCTTCAATGACACACTGGACCAGATGGACATCACAGATATATTCAGAACATTTCATCCCAAGGCAACAGAATACACATTCTTCTCTAGTGCCCATGGAACATTCTCTAGAATAGATCACATCCTCGGTCCTAAATCAGGTCTCAACCGGTATCAAAAGATTGGGATCATTCCCTGCATATTTTCAGACCACACTGCTCTGAAGCTAGAACTCAATCACAAGAGGAAATTTGGAAAGAACCCAAATACATGGAGACTAAACAGCATCCTTCTAAAGAATGAATGGGTCAACCAGGAAATTAAAGAAGAATTGAAAAAATTCATGAAAACAAATGATAATGAAAACACAATGGTTCAAAATCTGTGGGACACAACAAAGGCAGTCCTGAGAGGAAAATATATAGCAGTACAAGCCTTTCTGAAGAAACAAGAGAGGTCTCAGATACACACCCTAACGCTATACCTAAAGGAGCTGGAGAAAGAACAAGAAAGAAACCCTAAACCCAGCAGGAGAAGAGAAATCATGAAGATCAGAGCAGAAATCAATGAAATAGAAACCAAAAAAACAATAGAACAAATCAACGAAACTAGGAGCTGGTTCTTTGAAAGAATTAATAAGCTTGATAAACCCCTGGCCAGACTTATCAAAAAGAAAAGAGAAAGGACCCAAATAAATAAAATCATGAATGATATAGGAGAGATCAAAACTAACACCAAAGAAATACAGACAATTATAAGAACATACTATGAGCAACTCTATGCCAACAAATTTGACAATCTGGAAGAAATGGATGCATTGCTGGAGACATATAAACTACCACAACTGAACCAGGAAGAAATAGAAAGCCTGAACAGACCCATAACCAGTAAGGAGATTGAAACAGTCATCAAAAATCTCCAAACAAACAAAAGCCCAGGGCCAGACGGCTTCCCGGGGGAATTCTACCAAACATTTAAAGAAGAACTAATTCCTATTCTCCTGAAACTGTTCCAAAGAATAGAAATGGAAGGAAAACTTCCAAACTCAATTTATGAGGCCAGCATCACCTTGATCCCCAAACCAGAAAAGGATCCCATCAAAAAAGAGAACTACAGACCAATATCCTTGATGAACACAGAGGCAAAAATTCTCACCAAAATACTAGCCAATAGGATTCAGCAGTACATTAAAAGGATTATTCACCATGACCAAGTGGGATTTATTCCAGGGCTGCAAGGTTGGCTCAACATCCGCAAATCAATCAATGTGATACAACATATTAATAAAAGAAAGAACAAGAACCATATGATACTCTCCATAGATGCTGAAAAAACATTTGACAAAGTACAGCATCCCTTCCTGATCAAAACTCTTCAAAGTGTAGGGATAGAGGACACATACCTCAATATTATCAAAGCCATCTATGAAAAACCCATCACAAATATCATTCTCAATGGAGAAAAGCTGAAAGCATTTCCAGTAAGGTCAGGAACATGGCAGGGATGTCCGTTATCACCACTGCTATTCAACATAGTACTAGAAGTCCTAGCCTCAGCAATCAGACAACAAAAAGAAATTAAAGGCATCCAAATTGCTAAAGAAGCAGTCAAACTATCACTCTTCGCAGATGATAAGATACTATATGTGGAAAGCCCAAAAGACTCCACTCCAAAACTGCTAGAACTTGTACAGGAATTCAGTGAAGTGTCAGAATATTAAATCACTACACAGAAATCAGTTGCATTTCTCTATACCAACAACAAGACAGAAGAAAGAGAAATTAAGGAGTCAATCCCATTTACAATTGCACCCAAGACTATAAGATACCTAGGAATAAACCTAACCAAAGAGCCTAAGAATCTATACACAGAAAAGTATAAAGTACTCATGAAAGAAATTGAGGAAGACACAAAGAAATGGAAAAATGTTCCATGCTCCTGAATTGGAAGAATAAATATTGTGAAAATGTCTATGCTACCTAAAGCAATCTACACATTTAATGCAATTCCTATCAAAATACCATCCATTTTTTTCAAAGTAATGGAACAAATAATCCTAAAATTTATATGGAACCAGAAAAGACCTTGAATAGCCAAAGGAATATTGAAAAAGAAAGCCAAAGTTGGTGGCATCACAATTCTGGACTTCAATCTCTATTACAAAGCTGTCATCATCAAGACAGCATGGTACTGTCAAAAAAACAGACACATAGATCAATGGAACAGAATAGAGAGCCCAGAAATAGACCCTCAACTCTATGGTCAACTAATCTTCGACAAAGCAGGAAAGAATGTCCAATGGAAAAAAGACAGCCTCTTCAATAAATGGTGTTGGGAAAATTGGACAGCCACATGCAGAAAAATGAAATTGGATCATTTACTTACACCACACATGAAAATAGACTCAAAATGGATGAAGGACCTCAATGTGAGAAAGGAATCCATCACAATCCTTGAGGAGAACACAGGCAGCAACCTCTTCGACCTCAGCCGTAGCAACATCTTCCTAGGAACATTGCCAAAGGCAAGGGAAGCAAGGGCAAAATGAAATATTGGGATTTTATCAAGATCAAAAGGTTTTGCACAGCAAAGGAAACAGTTAACAAAACCAAAAGACAACTGACAGAATGGGAGAAGATATTTGCAAATGTCATATCAGATAAAGGGCTAGTGTACAAAATATATAAAGAACTTATCAAACTCAACACCCAAAGAACAAATAATCCAATCAAGAAATGGGCAGAAGACATGAACAGACATTTCTGCAAAGAAGACATCCAGATGGCCAACAGACACATGAAAAAGTGCTCCATATCACTTGGCATCAGGGAAATACAAATCAAAACCACAATGAGATATCACCTCACACCAATCAGAATGGCTAAAATTAACAAGTCAGGAAATGACAGATGCTGGCGAGGATGTAGAGAAAGGGGAACCCTCCTACACTGTTGGTGGGAATGCAAGCTGGTGCAACCACTCTGGAAAATAGCACGGAGGTTCCTCAAAATGTTGAAAATAGAACTACCCTATGACCCAGCAATTGCACTGCTGGGTATTTACCCTAAAGATACAAATGTAGTGATCCGAAGGGGCACGTGCACCCGAATGTTTATAGCAGCAATGTCTACAATAGCCAAACTATGGAAAGAACCTAGATGTCCATCAACAGATGAATGGATAAAGAAGATGTGGTATATATACACAATGGAATACTATGCAGCCATCAAAAGAGATGAAATCTTGCCATTTGCGATGACGTGGATAGAACTAGAGGGTATCATGCTTAGCAAAATAAGTCAATTGGAGAAAGACAACTATTATATGATCTCCCTGATATGAGGGAGAGGAGATGCAATATGGGGGGTTAAGGCGGTAGGAGAAGAGTAAATGAAACAAGATGGGATTGGGAGGGAGACAAACCATAAGTGACTCTTAATCTCACAAAACAAACTGAGGGTTGATGGGGGGAGGGGGCTTGGAAGGGGGGGTGAGGTTATGGACATTGGGGAGGGTATGTGCTATGGTGAGTGCTGTGAAGTGTGTAAACCTGGCGATTCACAGACCTGTACCCATGGGGATAAAAATATATGTTTTTAAATAATTAAAAAAAAACAGTCTGAGGGTTTTGAAGGGGCAGGGGGTGGGAGGTTGGGGGAACCAGGTGGTAGGTATTGGAGAGGGCACGGATTGCATGGAGCACTGGGTGTGGTGCAAAAACAATGAATACTGTTACACTGAAAATAAATTTAAAAAATTTAAAAAAAAATAAAAAAAACAACAGAACCCAGGGGTGCCTGGATGGCTCAGTCAATTAAGCACCAGATTCCTGGTTGTGGCTCAGGTCATGATCTTGTGGGTTGTGAGATAGATCCTGCACTGGGGCTCTAAACTCAGTGGGGAATCTGCTTGAAGTTTTTCTCCCTCTGTCCTTTACTCCTCTTAAAAAAAATAAATATCTAAAACAAAATTAAAAAAAAATAAAACAGAAACCATATATTTTCAGTTTGTTTGTTTCAAGTTTTCCAATTTTATTACCTCAGACCTCTGAATTTTTGTTTTGCATAAACATAAAAATAACTGGGCACATTATTATTTTGAAGTAGCTGAAGGTCATTTATGTGAAAGACCTTGTACTCTGAGATAAATACAAGTGAAACTTAAATTACCATCATAATTACTTCAATAGAATATTTTAATTACATGTGAACACTTCTAACATATTTTAAATGTCATAAAAAATTTAATTTTGCATGGTTTTTGAATGTTTTTCTATTGTCACAATGAAAATATCTCAATTTTTAAAAACTGATTCAGAAAGACTGTGAAGATTGGTATGTTTAAAACCCTGCTATGAATCAATATATTGCAAGTGCCCAATAATTTTATCTAAAAAAACATATGCCCCGCAAAAGTGAAAGCAAAAAGAAGTAAATTGTATGACTGAACACTGTTGAATCTAATGAGAATTGGAACCAAAAGAAGCTAATGATATTGTTTGTGTCTTTCTCTGTATCTGTATCTATGATTTATAATCCACAAAAACTGGCAAACCTATTTTATTGACCAAAGTTTTGCGAACTATTTACCTTTTCATGTTTTAGCTACCATGCAAAAGCGTCTAAAGAAGGAGAAAAAAGCCAAGAGAAAACTGCAGGAAGCCTTGGAATTTGAATCAAAGCGCCGGGAACAAGTGGAACAAGCACTTAACCAAGCCACTACTGGTGACAGTGGCCTGAGGATGTTGAAAGGTAATGTCTGATTTGGACTTTCACACTCAAGGTATACAAAGAAAAAAACCCAATTTAAAAAAGAGAGGGGGCGCCTGGGTGGCTTGGGGCACCTGTGTGGCTCAGTGGGTTAAAGCCTCTGACTTTGGCTCAGGTCATGATCCCAGCATCCTGGGATCCAGCCCCACCTCGGGTTCTCTGCTCAGCAGGGAGCCTGCTTCCCCCTCTCTCTGCCTGCCTCTCTGCCTACTTGTGATCTCTGTCAAATAAATGAATAACATCTTTTAAAAAGAGAGGGAAGGAAAGAAGGATGGAAGAAAGGAAGGAAGTGAGGGACGGGAAGAAGAGAATGAAAAGGAAGGGAAAGGAGAAAGGAAGGGAGGAAGATCTAGAAAAAAGGTGAGAGGGTGGAAGGAAAGGAGTGAAGAAAGAAAGAGAGAAAGGAAGGAAGGGAAGGAGGAAGGAAGGAAAGACGAAGAGCGGGAGAGGCAGGCTTTGTTCAAGAATAATTAAAGAAAATCAATTTGAGGCCAAGTGTTTTAGTTATTAACTAAATGTGTCAAAATAATCCTTATTCTGAGAGATACAAATAGTCTAGGAATAACAGGAAACCCCACTGACTTTTACAGTAGAAGCAGTAATACTGATAACCTCCTTGCACCTAAAACGTGAGTATTTTATATCCATTCATATTAAAATATGCTGATGATTGTTGTACTCTCTTTTAATGAACTATAGGGTGCTGGTTTCTTTAATGTAGATTGCATAAGTGTTGAGGGTTTAAGGAGGGCCTGGATGAAAAAAATATGTTTTAAGTACATTCCTGGAGATTCTGTGAGAAGAGATGCTTCTGTCATGAAATCTCTTAATTCCAAATTTTTCTTATTACATTTTCGATTATGAAACCCCACAACATCATTTCTTCTCATAGAATATTCAGATTCTTCTTTCACAGCACATTGACAGCCTGTATTTTTAAATTGATATGTTAAATATACATATATATATTAACTAATATGTGTGTATAGCAAGTATAAGCCCAAGAATTTTACATGCACATGTACGCATACCCCATACACATGTATGACACACACATAAAACTAAAAGTGTGCGTCAGTGTCCTATACCAAGAATGAGTAAAGAATTTTTTACAAACATGAGTCTTATTCTTTCTGTCCAGAAGTTAAATTCCCTTTTTACTGTGACTGTATTGGATCATTGTGCTCACAATCAATAGAAATACAGTGCTAGATCATTAGCTCATGCTAACCATGACTTGTTGAGACACAGAAAAAACATAATTATATATTAATATTTTACACAATGGGACATCTTAGTGAAAGCCAGAATCCTTGCTTATCAAATGTTCTAAAAATAACATTTCTTGAGTAGCAATGGGGCTTATGTTCTGTGTACTCATCATTATTATTATTATTTGAGGCCCTGAGCTTGTCATTCTGAAGTGGTTTGACATTATTTTTTTTTTACATATTTAAAATCCACCTGTAATTGAGCTCTATCTCGGTCTAGTTTTTCTATCATAAGAGAAAAACAGCTCTTTCTACAGCATAATGGTTACCTTGTATTCAAATCATTTTCTTATATTAATCTTTGATGGCATTGGGTCATGCACTAACATCTGTTATCCCATTACCCAAGGATGTCCAAGCAAATGTATAAATATAGAAATGCTCATATAAAGCTATGCTTCATGGATATAGATAGCTTTTAGATAATCACATCTCATATTTAAAATTGAAAAGAAAAACCCAACTTATTTCTTTTTTCTCAATTTTTTTTTCAAAAACAATTCATGTATCCCTTTGCCCTTATAACCAGTACTGCATAAAGACCACAAACCATAACGTGTGTTTTGGTGTTCAGTGTGCTTAGCATAGAGATAATCTCATCATCATCTCTCATTCATTTTACAATGAAAAATATAGCATAAGAATGGAGACCTTCCATTTATGTAATTGTATCCATCTTTTTCTTATTCTACAGTCAATTCATGTTGCCTGATAGTCTGAGGGGATTATTTTCCTGAGAATTATCTCTAGAGAATGAAATAAAGAAGTATTTACTATATACTTGGAAATATATGCCAAATTTTAGAATTCAGCTATAGTTTATAATTCTCCCTCCTACCATTAAAAACAGACATATGGGGGCACCTGGGTGGCTCAGTGGGTTAAAGCCTCTGCCTTCAGCTCAGGTCATGATCCCAGGGTCTTGGGATGGAGCCCCACATCTGGCTCTCTGCTCCGTGGGGAGCCTGCTTCCTCCTCTCTCTCTCTCTGCCTGCCTCTCTGCCTACTTGTGATCTCTGTATGTCAAATAAATAAATAAAATCTTTAAAAAAATTTTTAAAAAGTAAAAATAAATAAAAACAGACATACGAAAATAATAACAAGAATGCTATCCAAGATCTTGTGTTATCCATAGGGCCAAATTACTAGTTTCACTTTAAATGGAATCAGAAAAAATAGAATTGTACCTTAATCTTGAATGTCACTTCTTTCAGATACTGGAATTCCAGACACTGAAGTAGAAAACAATGGGACTCCTCATAATAGTACTGCTATGCAAGGTACAGTAAACAGCATACTCCTCTCTATAACTGCCTGATATGGGGTGGGCATGAGTTCCTATGTTGATATTCTCTATATAAATAAAAAAAATAAGTTTAATTATTCTCACTTTATGGCAGAGGGAGAAGTCTTCAGTATTTTTTGAGATTATATACATAGGGACTAATAATTTCACATATACAATGTGGGAAATTTCTTGTACATTTAACTTTTTAAAAAGAATGTATATTTATGTTAGGCATATTCTAAAAATGCATAAAGGTGAATATAATTTACCTTTCCGAAGTGTATAATAATATACTTTAAAAAATTTCACTACTGTTTGTAAAAACCAAAGGTAGAATAATTATAACCTATCAATATGTTTGATGAGTTCTAGACAACATTTTTATCAACCTCTAAATTCCAATGCTGTTTAGATAACTTTAGAAGCCATCTAAATATGGAAATAAGAACATGATTTGTAATTCATGATTTTCAAGATTCCCATAAGTGCTTAGATCCTTTAAAATATTTTAAAATAGTTGGTAGTAGGAGAATAGATGATACAAGTCAATTTAAAATTTCACTGGAGTGCAAAACAATCTGAAAGGAGAAATTGAATTTAACCACTGGATTTTTCTTGTCTGATTCTAATGCAGTTTTCTAGCTCTTTGTATGCAGATTACCTTTATTTTTATGTTTAATATGGAAAAATGTCTCACTCTAATAAAAAAGAAAAGGCATCTCTATGAGAAAATGATTTCTTAACTTCAGAAAGCAAGATAATCATGGATGTTACTTGCTAGAGGATTAACTAATCAATGCCTTTTCATTGTGTAATGACTAGGTCTACATGAAGATAACAGAACTGGATGTGACTAAAAGATCCATTTGGGTTCTTTTGTGTGTCCACACTTATGTGGTAGTTTGAGAAAATTTAGAATCCCTCATTCATGTAGACTTGCCCATCATTTTTACAAAACAAGGATTGTCAGAGCTCATGGATCTTCTGATAATGCCTGTTTCTGCTGCGGTTGAGTAGATCTAATTAATGCATTAATTTTGCTAAGTGTGCTTTGTTCATTCAGTGAAGCTTTTGATATTTCTTATCCCTCTTATGCTTGCTGGCTTTCTTCCCTCAGTTTAAAAGCTGCATCTATGTGCCCAAAGCCAATATGGACAAGACTCATTGTCTGTCCGATCAAGTCACCACAGTTAAATTTATGAGGAAAAACTCCACTAGCTGTGGGCTACCACTAGTTGAGTTTGCTGTCACATATTGGGACAAGGTAGGGTTGAATAAGCTTGAAGCATTTGATGACTTCTTAATTTGTGACACACAAATATAGACCCAGTCTTTTATGGAACGTTGAGTTTGATTGTGCCCCTCCTTTGATGGGCTGTAAGGTCAGCTTTGGAACTGGAGAGGTTAAAGCAAACACACCATCAGTGGGTTGTATATTTATTATCCTGTAATCCTATACTTTCAATCCATTGCTGTTTGTTTAATGTATATGATACCTTTAATTTGCAGTAGTAACATCTTTCCCAACTCTGAAATATATACAAACATTTTTACTGGCCTAAACTTATTTCTTTTCCATGCAACTAAAAACAGGTATCTAATTCATGGGAATTAGTTAGATGATATAAATCAAAAGCCTTTGATTTGGTTTAAATTTTCTTATTTTAACAAAGTCTGCAAAGAATGGCTTTTGTATATTAACTTGTGGTTGGGGTAGGGCACATTTAATATTTATTTTCATTGAGCATACTTTTAGTAATTTCTGCTATTTTTTGCTGGCTAAATATGAGGGAATTAGTACACCTTTAAAAGGATTAAGATAGAATATATTTTAAAGCAAGGGACTTAACTTTCATTTTTTTTAAATTACAGATCAAATTGACTAATATTTGTCATTAGTAGTGTGAATATATAGTAAAGTGTGGTGTGTTAACAATTACTTGTTGAATGTCAGCCTTTTAGGTTATGTTAAATAATCTTGATAAATGTAATGAAAATGGAAAAGTACACATTCTCATCTCTCTTAGCATAGCATTTAAGCAATATAAATGATAAATGTCCCATCATCAGTTTATGGAAAATTAGAGGGAATGCTCTGTCTTAATATGACAGTAGAATCACAATTTAATACCTAAAGTAAGTTAATTTTTGAGCAAAAAATAAAAGTTTCATTAGCCAGTGGGATAAGTGCCTGAAAATATTATCAGAACTATTTTAAGTGTAGTTCACAAAATGAACCAATTCAAATAATTACCTGAAAAATCCCAGTAATATTACTTATTATTTAAGATGTTCAGTATTGAAAAATTACTTTTATATGCATTTATGAACTTCAGAAAATGTGTAATGTCTGGAAAACATAAAATGCAACTTTGGCCATTATTTTTTTCATTCTTCCTAATAGATTTGTTCTTGTGTGTTACAGTTTTTATCTTTTGTGACTTATTTTGATACTGATTTCATCTTTCCCTTTTCCTCAATTACCCATTTTTTACCTTAATAGAGTATTTGTTAGCATTGTTTATGAGGGTCAATTCATTCATGCCAATTCAGTGCCATTTCCAAAACTCATCTTTATCACAGCAAACAATTCCAGAATGTGAAGTCTTTTCTCTTCCTATTGTCAATAGCTCTGCTGGATAGAAATCTATCAATCACCCAGTGCTCTCGCTTTTGAGGTTAAATTAGTTCCAATGGGATATCTCCTTAAGAGAGTTTAAAGAGGACTTGGAGGAATGTTGTTTGGTCATCTTTAAAACTAATAAAGTTATATACAGTTTTATGCTAATGATTACATGGATTTTAGCACAAAGATTCTTTGTACTAAGATTCTTACATGTATTCCAAATCTCTTTAGCTTAGTTATTTCATGTCTTTCATGCTTTGAATGTTGTTTGACAGACAAGGTATGCATGAACCACCTTTTGTAACCCTAATTTTAACGGTCTATTATAGCAACTCCTTCTGAATATTTTAAGGTGGTCAAACAATGAATACATACTCATTCTGATGGCTCTGTCCACTGTTGGTGGAGGTGAAGGATTCGGTGGAGCATATACACGAATATTGTCTCACCTAGATTCACATAATTCAGTTGAGGGCCTGCAAGACAGCATGTTAACCATTTTATCAACCAATCTCTGTTCCACATTAAATAAACATACTGGGTGTCATTAAGTGCACCTTCAGATCAATGATTTTTTTCAAATGACATTCAAGTACCATTTGTGTAGTGCATTTCTGCTGATAAAAGCAAATTAAATTAGCACAACTACAAGTGCACTGATAAAAACTAAAACTGAACAGCAGTACCATTATCTAACAAAGTAGTATTTTCTCTTTACTGTGTTCTGCCATTTAGTTATTATCCTATTGGAAATCTAATTATAATCCTTTTACTCCCTACTCAAACTTCACAGTTTTTGCAAGCTTAGCACTGACAAGTGATTTCATTACATTTGATTGCCCGCACCCAGACTGACTTAACTTCACTTGAAGACCTAAAAGCCCTCTCAGTTTCTCAGATTCCCTATTTGCACATTATAGCAACAGCTCCTTTAATTAATTAGCATAAACAGCAGTAACATGAACTGCTGAACAGAAAATAACATAATTTTATGATCACAGGGAGACTTCTCCTTTTGCATGTTTATACCTTAGTTAACTCTTATATAACTATATTTCATTGTTAGGGGCTACTGGTACAGTTGACAGTGCATGTTCTTAAAATTTTGAGAACTGACATCATCATCTTAATAATAACAGATAAAACAAGCCCAGGACATGAAGCTCTTAAGTTTTAGAAAACACACAACAGCCTTCTGACTTTCTAGTAATAAAATAAAATAATAAGAAAAGTTCAAGGGAGATAGCATCATAAATTGCAAGGGCACAGTGACACATTGCTCCCTTTCCTGCCATTCTATTTGTTTGGGGAAAACAAAACAAAACAAAATTTAAAAAACAGACAAATTAGGAACTGTTCTTGTAAGAGGAATGTCAATCTATGTGAATGATTTTTACATTTGCTTTTTTTGCCTACGTGTTTGACCATGACACAGAATGATTTAACACTAGAATATATTTTTCCATAAATATGGTGGAATCTTAAATTATTTTCCTTCCTTTTGCTACTAACACACTGGAAATAGATATTAAATCTAACCTACATGTTAAAAGTAAACCAAAATTTGATGCAAAAGATAAACCTACTAAAAATTTTCCCCTGCTGAGGGGGAAAAGAAAAATTCAGTTCAGAAAAATGTAAAATCTTATTCATAGAATATAGACTAACCTTTCTAAAGTATGAAAAGCATGATCTCATCCATGCAGCACTTTGTAAATATGCCACTGAAAAATTAAAAGCAAGGTGACTAAAGTGTCATTTGATTCTAAAAGCAACAGACACAATTTTAACACTTCTATGCTAAAAACACACTTATTACATCTTAAAATGTAATTTTAATATGTGCTTAACATATAGAAATTTTAATATACATTTAGAGTATGAAGTATATATGAATATGTGTATTCTCATCTACTCTCTGAAAATGAATTTGAGCAACATCTAGCCTTCCTCAACCTTTGAAACTTCCTTATATTCTATCTTTATAGCTCACTTGGTTACCTAGAATAACATTCCTCTAATGAGCTTCAGATGGCATGCTAGTATTTATTGGAAACAATTACCCTTGAGCTAAAATTGTCATTGCAGAATCTGCTAGAATAGCAATGAAAGGGATGGTAGGAGCAAGTAAGGAGACTGGAAAAATTAAATCATATATGATTACTTCCCATGTATGTGATTTGAAAAGAAAAACTAAAAGGAGAGCAGGTAGAATTTCTCTATAGGGTTTTCTAAGTCCCACCACATTGTGCTCTACATATTTCTCTTGGGGCTCCACAGACTACTTCCTGCCCTATATTCATGAATCATCAATTGCTCTCCCCTTTTATGTCTTATACTATGTTGTAAGGTATACATAGACAGATTAATATTCCCATTGAAAAGTGGAAGTGTTCTTTTCTAAAGTGTATAGTGTGACAGATATTAGAGAGATTGTGGGAAGTAGGTCTTCTTCCCTCTTAAATGCTTCTTTTGAGAGTAGGAGCCTTTTACTACTCAGAGAAACATTGCTGCAACTGTCATCATAGAGTCAAAAAAGACTGTAGCACACACCCCACAGAGAAGATTTTAACATCTTTCTTTAAGGCAACAGTATTTTTTTTTCCTGTAAGATTCATTAGATGGCCTGAATCTTTTTATTTTCTCCCCCAGGAAGTATTTCTCTCTCATTTTCTTCATCCTTCACAGGATTTTTATCTTGATTGATAGTACCTCACAGACTATATCATACCTTTTTCTGTGAAATAACTGCCAGGTTATAGTGCATATTAAGCTTTTAGTTCTTTCTACGGAGGATGTAAAGGGGTTACATTACTTGGTAATTTGGGGCTTGGTTGTCAAGAGGTGGTTTGAACCACCTACCACTACATTGTTAACAGAATATTTGCAATGACTGAAAGGCTGCCACATTAATGAAGATAACATAAAGTCCCATCTACAGATCTAAGACATACAACTCCAGTTATATAGCTCACTTACACAATAGATGAAATTGTAGCTTAGTGATAGCAAGATAGTGAGATTTGCAAGCCAAAATAGGTTTCTCTGCTACTCAGCATTTTTTAAGTCTATAGATTAATTCATCAATCAAAATATCTTTCTGACTCTTATCCAGGAAGAGTTGTTTAACTCAACTTTATCAGTGTTTAGCCAGTTACATTATGTCCATCCTCTGTATGTGTACAACACATTTTGAAGCTTAAAATTCACTCTTTCCCTCCTCAAACACAGATAAGCTTGAGGAAAATGTGAAAGGAAAGCCTTTCTCTGATTAAAAGTTCCTCAGTTTCACATTTGTGTTTTAGTGTACAACACACAGCATTTTCATAGAAAACTGTAATAATATGTTACTGTTGTCATACCACTTCTTTTAAATAAGTAGAATAAAAGAAAAAAGGTAAAATGATGTTGCAGCCACATAAATATGTTGTAGTTCTATGCCAACATGCTTATTGGATAATCCTAAAACTGGAAGAGTGAAAAAAAGAAAGGCAAGGTCTAGTATTTGTATAGCCTGGTGAACTTTGTGCCATTCTTTTCTTTTGAGGAGATAGGGTGAGGGAGGGCTTAATTTTAAAAAAGTAACTTATTGGGTGACTTAACTGAAATTTCCAGGAATAGATTCAGGCATGGCTGCATCCAGGAACTCAAATAATAAATCTGTTTAACATGTCTCTCCTTCCATTTCCCTCTAGTCTCCCTTCCCTTTGAAGGCTTTGGGATTTTTGTTTTGTTTTGTTTTGTTTGTTTGTTTTTGTTTTTGTTTTTGTTTTTGTTTTACATTTGGCTAAGTTTTCCTATTCCATTGTGCAAAATGTGGCAAGCCCAGGTTTATTGTTAGTTCTCTCATTTGTAACAATTCCGTCAGAAAGAGGATTTTGTTTTTGTGCCATTCTTAACACACATCCTCTACCAGGATTGCTCCTGTATGATAATTAAGAACGATATGATTAACCTCCACTTTATAAGTAGGGAAATAGCCTAAGAGAAGTTAATTGGCTTGCTGTCGATAGTGGGTTCTAAAAAATAGGAATCTTAACTCCCTTACACATTATCCTCATTGTCAATTTGTGTTGATATTTTCACTTTCAAACTATACTGTTAAAATCACTAGTCATCTAGCTAGGATATTTAACTAGACTATAATATTATCCTATGAAAAATAGGATCCAGCAGGACCTAGGTGGAAGAAACCTTCTCCACCTTGTAGTTAATTAACCAAAAGAGCCTAAAAACAACTCTAATTAAATAATTACTTCTGCCTTGAAACTTTGCAGAGATTGGGGTAGTACTTATAAAAACTACACAAATAACATACATCTCTCTTTTTTATTTAAAACTGTGTAGAGAAATGAAATAAAAATAGAAAGAAACTTTTCTATTTGTGGCAAAACTCACATCATCTATCAGAACTAGACCTTAACAGATCCTCAGTATTGTAACTTAGGTCAAGATTCTTTACCATGGGCCTTTAGCATAAAGTCTTACTTGTTTGCTATAGGGAACTTCTTCCTCATTTATAATACCATATAACAATCAATTTTGGAAATTAAAGTGAATTTAAAGAAAAACATTCTTCAGATTTTATCCAGACCTCCTTGAAGTCCCCTAATATGTTGACCCCCCATAGTTTATAATTTACTTGTTTAATGTTTAGAAATTAACATTAGTAATAATCTGTTTACTCAAGCTGCAATCTACTTTACCTCAATAATGCAAATGGTTATTTAGACATTTTCAATGATTTCTCTTTTAACTTTAAAGAAAGCAGTATTTTTATAAACATTTCTTCACTATTTCCCTACTGTCCCATAAATGTTTAAGTGATTGTACTTTCTTCAAAAAAAAATACAGATGAATATCACATTGATCTCAGCATTGGTGAGTAGCCATTTAAAATGGGTGAGGCATAACCTGCAACTCAAATTTTACAATCTCCTGGTAACTGCATTTTAATCCTCTATGGGAAATGTTGGATGTGGTCATTTTTAATGTTGTTCAAGTAAACATTTAATGTTTTCCCATTATTTTCATTTTCATTTTCTTCCATATTTTGATCACACATCAGGATTATAGTGTTTTTCTATTAGTTTAATATACAAAAGGAATAGTTAAAAGTTATAAAAAGTAACTTTAAATATACTAAATGTACTTTTAAATATTACATTAAAATGTTTACAGTATGCTTCTTAAATAAAGTGCAAATAAATTTAACCTTCACAAAATATTTTTTAGATTATACACTTATGGAAAGTGGGTGATACAACTTTAGACTTTTAAAGAAATGGCATAAATAACTTACCACTTTTCAACATGGCATTATCTATAAGAAGTATTGTAAGAATATGACATTCCAAATGTGATACAAGTGCTTAGAGTGGCTTAGTATGGCTCCTAACATAGTCAGTGTTCCACAAATACTAGTTTTTATTTATACTTCTTTCTTTTCCTTTCTTTTCTCTGCAGGAAAGTAGAATTCAAGTACATCTAGAGCTCTTAGTGTGGCTCAAAAATTGCAGGTCTGTGTACTGGTCACATGTACTTTTATTGACATTTTATATCTGGTCTGTGGGAGACACAATGTAGGAGGGGCATTGGTCTAGTAGTCAGAATTTTTCAGTCACTAATTGGCTAATTCATTTACTAAGCTTGAGAAGTAATTCAACCTATCCCTTCCTGAGTTTTAGTAAAATAGTAATTATAATATTTGCCTAATCATCCCCTTCAATACATTAGATCCATACTTTCTGATAAGTATGACAGATATAAGATTTCATTATGACTATGCCCAATACAATACGTATGAAGTTAGCATTTATGTTCACATGTGTAGATTTTAGTAAGAATGAAATATTTGGCATATAATTGATGTATAAAACTTCCTTTAAAACATATATTTTCAGTAGACAGTCATGGAAAATATATTTTTTATAATTTACCATCATATGGGAATAGAAGGGTATCCTTGCCACTTTTTTAGAGTGGGTCTTTCGAAGACCAGAGAATAAATAAAGGGGGAAAGGCTATATTAAAGAGTTAGTTCTCCATGCTATTTGTTATGCTCTACAAATAAGTGAAACCATATGATAATTGACTCTCTCTGCTTGACTTATTTAACAAATAGCATGGAGAACAAGGGGAGATGGAGAGGAGAAGGGAGTTGAAGGAAATTGGAAGGGGAGGTGAACCATGAGAGACTATGGACTCTGAAAAACAATCTGAGGGCTTTGAAGGGGCGGGGGGTGGGAGGTTGGGGGAACCAGGTGGTGGGTATTAGAGAGGGCACGGATTGCGTAGAGCACTGGGTGTGGTGCAAAAACAATGAATACTGCTACGCTGAAAATAAATAAAAAAAAAGAATTAGTTCACCAAAAAAAGTGAGTTAAAAGTGAGCAAGATCTGAGGGTTTTGAAGGGGTGGGGGATGGGAGGTTGGGGGAACCAGGTGGTGGGTATTGGAGAGGGCACGGGTTGCATGGAGCACTGGGTGTGGTGCAAAAACAATGAATACTGTTACACTGAAAATAAATTTAAAAAAATTTTTAAAAAGTGAGCAAGGGAGGTTGATGTTCCATTGTGATACCATTTGCAAAGAAAAGACAACCTGTACTGATTTTTGTTTTGATTAAAATATAAATCAGAAATTTGGGGGGCTAAAAAAGTCAAGTAATTATTATTTTCAAGAAACTTCTATTTTTTTTAAAGTGCCACATTATAAAATCAACATCAGACCCATTAAAAAATGACTCTAAAACAATGTTTTCCCTAGATGAAGAGTAATCAAATGCTTTGCTACTTCATTATCTGCCCCTTTCTTGCATTATTCTACTTTTCCTATTTTCAAATTAGTAGCTCCATTTATACTACTGTACTAATACCTAACTGGACCCCAGACTGTTATCACTTAATTGATTTGAGGATACTATATTCTGAACATGTTTCCATAATGAAGTAGAGCTCATAAAATTGACTGAATATTTAATTTGGATTGAACCTATGACTGAATTAGAGCATTAACCAGCCCATTGTTTTACCTCTCTCTTATTCAAGTTAGGAAAACATGGTCTTTCAGATATGATCTCATTTAATGCCAAATAATATAGTGCCCTTGAAGATTAGAAACACATCACTAGTTAAAGGACTTAAAGAAAACATCAAATTTACTACTTAGCAGGAGAAATCATTTATAAAATATTGCCATTAGTTCATGAATGAGATAGCTACCCTAAAAGAAAGGTTTGATGGCCCAAAGTATGACTATGATGAAGCTGATCAGTTCTTAAGGAAATCTCATTGCCTTTTTTAAAGTTTTTATTTAAATTCCAGGTATTAACATTGGTTTAATATTAGTTTCAGGTGTACAATTTAATGATTCAACAGTTACATACAGTGCCTGGTGCTTATCGAAACAAGTGCACTCTTTTTTTTCTTCAAATTTTTATTTAAATTCTAGTTAATTAACATACAGTGCAATGTTGGTTTCAAGAGTAGAATTCAGTGAATCGTCACTTACATACTACACCCAGTGCTCATCATATCGAGTGCACTCCCTAATCCCATTGTTTATATAAGTGAGTAAGTGGTGAGGAAACACTTGAAAGAAAACACGAGCTCCGAGGAGGAAAAATAACTTTCTAAACATAAATTAAACCTTCAAAAACATAATAGAATTATTTCTTTGCAATTAAAAAAAAAACACAGGCTTCCAGTTACGGAATGAAAGAGTCACAGGAATAAAAGGCACAGCATGGAGAATACAGTCAATGATATTGTAATAGCTTGTATGGTGATAGATGGTAGCTACACTTGTGGTAAGCATAAAATAACATATAGAGATGTTGAGTCACTATGTTGTACACCTGAAGCTAATGTAACACTGTGTGTCAACTACTCAAAATAAATAAATAAATAAATAAACAAACAAACAAACAAACAAATACACAGTGAGAAGTTACTTTTAAATATCCATTCTGTCAGAGAAAGGAATCTCATCCTGAGGGGGAAATTGCAATCATTAACAAAGTTTTTGACTCAGGGAAAATAGTGTGGATCTTCACTCATATTTTAGATGATGAAGGGGGGAAAACCTTTCTTAACACCTTGCTTTTAAGCTAGTCATGCATTTTGCTGCAGGTTGTAAAACTGTAGAACATGCACAAGGGGCTCATAAGCATATTTTAGAGTTAGGAAATATCATTTACACTATTTTTATATGGTCAATATCACCCTGAGAGAATAAGATTTAACTTTAAACTACTATAAACCTGCAGTTCTGCTCACCTTTGTATAATTTCATTTTTAATAGAATGAAACTCACATCAATGAATATATTTTTCAGGGATAAGCTGAATAAAATAATACATTTATTGCACAGAGATTCATTCAAATCTTGAACATATGTAGCAAAGCAAAATACTATAAACCCATTTTGTGGTTACCAGTGAAGTTCATTGAGTAGATTTTGGGTTTTCTTTGTCATAATGAAATTTTGACCAGGTCTTATTATTTTTTCTGTGCAGCCTGAACACTGATGCCGGAACTCCAACTGATCATAGGCACGAATAGAGTGTTGTAGCAGTTTACTTGCTTATTTAATGCTGTAATTCTTTAGAATTAATAATCAAATTCTTAAAATATGGAAACTTCAATTACTCTTTGTTCATTACTGATGAATAGGACCTTGCACGTACAGGGAAAATGTGCTAGAGAATAGGCTTCACCAGTTTTTAGGGGATAATCATAATGATTGAACATGATACTTCACACTTCTATAACCACTTTCTTCCATGGAGTTCATAGTGTTTCATAAATGTTATCACATTAATCACACAGCATCCTAATGGGGTAAGTAGGTACAAGAATTTTTGAGAGAGAAAATGTTATTTCTAAATGGTGTGACAGAAACTTAAATGTAGGCACACCTACTTTAAGTTGTGATTACTGTGAAATAGCTCTATATTTGGCTGACCTCGGATTTAACAGGGAATATGTGAGGAAGTAACGTATTTGTGCAAATGACCAGTATTTGTTACCACTCATTTAGAGCTCACTTTTCTTAAAAAACAAAAACAAGAATAAAAACAAACAAATAAACAAAAACATGCCTGTAGTGTTCTCTAAGGGAATAATGACAGATCCAGTTTGCAGATTTTACCATACCTAGTTCTCCCTTTGATCTGTTGATGGTAAAGCAAGTCATTTAATCGCTTTCTACTAGCATATTCCTTATTTATAGAGAAGTGAATGATAAAAACACATACCCAAGCTACTATAAATAAACCCCTTTTATTGCTTTTTGCTCTCCTCCCATCTCCAATTCTTCTTCCTCTTTATTAAACTATCAACAACTAAATAGACTGAAAAATCTATAGACATAAGAAGGAAAGTCAGATATGATGGATCAGTCACATCATGATTATTTTCCATTGTTCACCCTCTGATCTAAACATGACCAGATGCCTAAAATGTTCCAGTAATTAGAACCAAATGGGTCATTTGGCTTGAATTATCCAGGAAATGGCCTCAAATATCTTCAACTGTTTACTTAATGGAGGCCTCGCCAAAGGCTGGTGGCAAATACCTGTCATCATTATTTTCATGCCTCTTGAGAATCTAATAGAGCAGTATTCCAATGTGTTAAGTGGCACTCTAGTGATAAAAATTTTTTAATGGCTCATCCTAATATGCCCTTCCTACACCAAGCAAAAGCTAATGTTATTTTTATATCTGCCCTAGAATTAATTGCAAAACCGTCGCTCACCTTATTTAAAAGGCCAACAGAATTTTTAATCCATTCTCCAATAATCAGTTCCCTGTGACAGTGCATTAAATTTCTGTTGGAATGGTTACATACTCTATACATTTTAAAATGTTACATTAATTCATATCATTGTGACATTCCAGTCATTTCATGCTCTGAAGGAATTTCTTCTAAGGTACAGGAATTGGCTTCCTGTGCTCTTGATAGACTGTAGAAGGTCTACTAGTATAGAGTAGGTGTGCTGTTTTAACCTAATTCAGTGAATAATGCCAACTTAGAAATAAATCATGGATAAAGAAGAAATAAATCATGGGTTGAGACAAATGCAATTTTAAAAAATTATACTAATATCAAATATCTGAACTGAATAACAGAGCGGTGTGACTAAAAATATAGCATCCAGAAATGTCTCATCATTTGATAGTCAAACAGCATGTATTAAACTATAGCAGAGATTATTCCAATTAACATTAGCATATTCAAATTAACTAAGTCACTTAAAAGAAAACTAGCATCATTTTACAAGCAGATATGTTTAATTGATTTTGATTAAACTATAAGAATTCCGCATATGTTTTCTTCTGGTCTTTTCCCACATATCTGCCTTTTTTGTGACACCCGATTTAAGCTTTTTCCTTTCATAAGCTTCAGATGTATACCACAGAAGGCAATTCTCACACTTTCTTGAGTTCCAAACAACCAGGTGTGGTTCTTTAAAGATAACCCAACTGACCAGCAGACGCTCATCTTTTGTATGAAGGGGACCACACCATACTCCTGTGCCA